AGTTTTTAACATTACTAGCACTGGCATAAAACAAACACATAATAGTTTTTAATTTTACTAGCACTGGCATAAAACAAACACTTAATAGTTTATAACGTTACTAGCTCTAGCATAAAACAAACACAATAGTTTCTAATATTACTAGCACTGGTATGAAACAAACACGTAATAGTTTATAACGTTACTAGCTCTAGCATAAAACAAACACGTAATAGTTTTTAATATTACTAGCACTGGCAAAGAACAAACATGTAATAGTTTTTAACATTACTAGCACTGGCAAAGGACAAACATGTAATAGTTTTTAACATTACTAGCATTGGCATAAAACAAACACTTAATAGCTTTTAATGTTACTAGCACTGGCATAAATAAGTGTTTAGAATAACACAATTAAAAAGAACTTTGTCAGAATAACAAATTGCTATTAGGTAGAAAACAATCTTTGGTCAAAATGGGATTTCAATTCCATTAAACAAAACACTTTAGAAGTTACATATGAAGGAGGAGACAGATTTTATTGTTTTTTTAATTGTCTTTAATAAGACAGAAAAGTGTAAACTGTATTAATAAAAAATGTTTTTTTAACACAAAAAATAATGTGTTTTAAGAAAAATCTAAGAATTTAATTTCCAGGCAAATAAAAGACCTTGGTATGGAATAAAGAAATGTTAGGTTTGAAGTAAGATCTAAAAAACTTTAACATGTAGGCTTAGTGCCATGTTCTTTTTGTAAAACCAAGCATGAGAGTTTTGCTACATTAATTCGAATTAAAGCAAAGTATTGTAATCAGCTTATATTTTTTGTTCAATTTTAATAGAAAAGAGAGTATGATACAGTTTAATATTGGCAGGTATACTGTAACTTTTTGAATTATAACTTTGTGTTTATCAGAAATGTTGTGAAATATATATATATATATATATATATATATATATATATATATATATATATAGTATGTGTGACCAAGCACGACGACGAACCGACGAAGAGGGTTAAGTG